TGCACGCCAGTAGGGAGTCCGGGTTGGCTGGTTTGTTGTTTAACGCCGCACTCAGCAATATTCCAGCTACATAACGGCGGTCTGTAAATAATCGAGTCTGGGCCAGACAATCAGTGATTAATATAATTAGCATCGATGGGATCTATGACATGCATTAACCAAGTCAGCGGCCCTGACCACCCGATCCCGTTAGTCGCCTTTTACGACAAGCATAGTCACCTTTTATGGCAAGCATGGGTTGCTGAAGACCTATTCTAACCCGGAATCTTCACGTGTCTCCGGGCAGGAATATTGGTCCCGTGCAACCTATGCTGGTTGTAAGAGGTGGCTGAGAGGATCGGATGGTCAGGATCAGCGTGTCCCATTGCGTGGATCGATGCTCATGGTGTGTCTCACGGGATTGTTTACAGGTCGTTGTCATGGAATATTGCAAATAAACAAACAACTAACCAAAACAGATCAACTGGTAGATGATAGATCGGATAACAAGACTACCATTACATTGTGTGTCTCTGAAAGTGATGTTTCCACTGAAAACATAGGCCATCAGAACAAACACACCTTTCATCTTCCAGTTATTACCCAGTGAATGAGTAAGTACAATCTTTACGCCGTTTCTCACAATATTTCACTGATGTGACAGCTACTAAAAAAATTTCTCCATGAGGGGAATCGAAGCTTGATCTTCAGAGTGCTGAACACACAAACACGATGAGGATTCGTCAAAATGACTGCATGAGACTTCATAGTCATTTGGCCGTGTGTGCGGCCCACTGGTCACAAGGCGACCTGAAGCCGCGTTGTTCGCGGAGAGTAGCTGGATGGGTGACCGGATGCAACATAGACCCCTGAGATTTTCTAGGGCTCGGTCCTACCACTCACTGAATCACATGTGGAGCTGAAAAAGAGAGAGCACTTTGATCCATTGACGGGTAATAATAACGGAGAAATGTAATCACTAAAAACTATTATTATTATTATTAATAATACTATTATTATTATTATTTTACATATTAAAGTAAAATGCATCAGAGAGGGGTCGGTTAGTCCTAGCACAGTCAGGCTGGTTAGACTCATCGTCCGCTCGGGATCCTTACCATCTCTCCACGAAGCCCAAACAGCGAATGGGACTTCTCCCAAGAGGCCTAATCGAACCCACCAAGAACTTTACGGAGAACGTGAATGGCGCTGAAAGGTCAGGCGGTGCCGAACCACAGGCATCATAAACACTGGGATGTCGGACGACTTAAAGTGAAGTCCGCATAGTTACCATGCTTTTCCCGAATCTTGCCAATCACGTCGCTCTCAAAACTAACAAGAAAATCAATCATATTAATAATTTCATTGCCTTTATTAAAAAGGACAAGATCTGGATTATTGGCAGGGATGCTTCTGAGGCTGTATATGGGCATATTCCATATTTGTAAAGCAACATTTTCCATGAGTACCTGGACATGCTTCGGGTCATACCATGGATAGACCTCGGGGTCAAAGCCACAAACATGACGAAGCAATCGTCACCACTCGTCCCTTTCCGTAACCTGCAAGAAGACGCGTCCCCCCTATCGATGGATGTCATGTGCGAAAATACGACAAACCAATCAGAATGCGCGTCAAAGAATCCCTGAAAAATAATTTTTGATTTTACATATGTCTTGCATCTAAATTTATACCCAAGACACAGTTAAATGTGTTCAATCATACTGTATAATTCCGTACGTCCCGATGTGCTCTAAATTGCATCTGAAATATATATAATATATGGGGAAATATATGTGAACCATTACGCAACGAATTGACAATTGTTTTAGGTATGCCCGTTTGCGCTAAGACGGAACCCGGTCGCAAAGATGGCCACGAGAGGGGCACGAGTCGCTATTCGGCTTGTCCCGGAATAACACGAGTTGGTCACGAATGATGGCGAAGATGATAATATATAATGAACGAGACATGCCATCATACCGTTTGAGAAATACTGTTTGTGCTAGCCCAGGGCACCTACTGTAAAGGTGTTGAACTGTCTCAATACATTCACTGAACAATCTACACGTCCTGTCTACATGTTCCAAAAGAATAACATTTTGGTGATTACCAGTGGGAAGTGACTGATTATTTCTGAATATGCCATTGTGATAATTTAATTGTTAATTATTACAATAATAAATCGAAAGGGGATATTACAGAATCCCTAAAAGCAATAGATGAAAATGACTCGTGAACAAAAGTAAAGATGACTGATTCAAGTATTTCGTATCTTTAGAAAGTTTTGAAAAAGATATATGGTGGATATTTGTATTTACTTGTCAAATAACATTTTTAACTCATCGAGTAACCTGACAAAGCTAGACACGTTTTCAGATAAATATAGTGTTTGGTCACTAAACAATTAAAATTTGAGTTGGCATATGTACATTTGTACTTTTTAGGGACACACAATGAAAACGCATGGTCAAAATAAATGACACAAAAACAATTTTAGCAGTAAATATCTACTCGCATGACCTAACATCTTGACTGTGGGACAAAATGAGTGCTTGGGAGATAATGGTCAAAGGCGGTTCCAGCTGGAACATGGGGGTTTACAATACCACACAAGATCAACAGGTTAGTTTTTTATGTGACCCCCATTCACACAAATAAGTCACAAATATTGCTTTTTATGGGCAGCTGGGATGCTCGTACATTACTCCTGCAAAGCTAAGGTAAAGGATGGGCCGTGTCGTCTTCTGTATCACCCTATTTTTGAGTCACCATGGCAACAAGCGATCTAAAAAGTTGGTCATCACATAGTGGAGCAGATAAGTGAGTGAGTTAGTGAGGGTGAGTGAGTTGGATTGAACGCCGCTTTTAACAGTATTCCAGTTATATCGCGGCGTGTTAGCTTGTTGTGGGAGGAAAGCCCGAAGTGATGCAGGTCTCGGACGTTTACCACTTCGGTGAAACCCACGAGCACAGGTATGGTGCTGACAAACATAGAAACATAATCGGGGCGAACCGGGATTCGAACCCACAATCATAGGTTTCTGTCGTGCCCAAGGGGCGCAATTCTGCACAGCGAATCACGGCGCCTTAGACGACTGGGCCACCCGTTCCCCAGCAGATAAGAGTACAAGTGGATGAATTGTGCATTTTATGAATAAAGCATGAAGCTTTTCTTACAGCAAGACTAAGTATCATATTCAGCTTTAGCGCCATCGTACATTTTGCAAATGGCGGTTTTGGCGGCCATCTTGAAAAATGTCCACTAATGTCCTCCTGAGATTCCCTTCGCATGTCGGGTTGATGTTTTACGATAACGTTGGAAATGAATAAAACCATTTATACACCATTTATAAAATACAGTTATTATTTGTAAAAGAAAACCCACTTAAAACATGCATAATTGCGAATCGAATTCAGATTACATTACAATTTTTTTATATTATTGAAGAATGTAATGTAATGATTTCGATTTGCAATAATGCAAGTAATGATTGTTTTAGGGGTTTTTTGACAAATAATAACTGTATTTTATAAATAGTATATAAATGGTCACAACAAACTTCATGAAACCCGTGAAGATCCGGGGTAGAATAGGTCTTCACCAACCCATGCTTGCTGTAAGAGGCGACTCACGGGATCGGGTGGTAAGGCTCGGTGATATGGTTGATGCATGTCATTGTATCCCAATTGTGTGGATTGATGCTCATGACATCAATCATCGAATTGCCTGGTCCAGACTCAATTTTTTTACAGACCGCCGTCATATAGCTGGAATGTTGCTGAGTACGGCGTTAAACCACAAACAAACAAAAACAAAGCATCATCTGGAGAGATCAGCACAACATCCATTGCCAGGTCTACTTTCGATCTTGCATGTCGTGTTGTAAATGACAGCAGCGCAAGATGTACTTGTAAGCATGGACATGAATGATCTGATGTTATTATTATAAGGAGATGATGTAAGTATTTTCTCGAACCCTGTTATTGATCTCCAGAAGCAATAAAACATTCTTGAGTCTTTTTTTTTAGTGATGTGGTATTAAGGGGTTAAAATTAGGGGTGGTGGTGTTATTGACAGGAGTAGAATTAGGGGTTGAGGTGGTATTGACGTAAGGTATATTTATACACGGTGGTGGTATTGACGGGAGTAGATATAGATGAGCTGGTGGTGCTGGCGGGGTTAGATTTAGGGGTGGTGGTGGTATTGACGGGGGTAGATTTAGATGAGCTGGTGGTACTGGCGGGGTTAGTTTGGGGGGTGGTAGTATTGACGGGGTAGATTTAGGAGTGGTGGTGGTACTGACGAGGGTAGATTTAAACTGGGTGGTGGTATTGACTGGGTAGATTTTGGAGTGGTGGTGGTACTGACGAGGGTAGATTTAAACTGGGTGGTGGTATTGACTGGGTAGATTTTGGAGTGGTGGTGGTATTGACGGGGTAGATTTAGGAGTGGTTGTGGTATTGGCGAGGGTAGATTTAAACTGGGTGGTGGTATTGACGGGGTAGATTTAGGAGTGGTGGTGGTATTGACGAGGGTAGATTTAAAATTGGGTGGTGGTATTGACGGGGTAGATTTAGGAGTGGTGGTGGTATTGACGAGGGTAGATTTAAACTGGGTGGTGGAATTGACGGGGTAGATTTAGGAGTGGTGGTGGTATTGACGCGGGTAGATTTAAACTGGGTGGTGGTATTGACGGGGTAGATTTAAGGATGGTGGTTGTTCCAAATCATACAGCACGAAATCAGAGGTGAAATGATCACATAATCTGAGACTGACTGATTAAGAGCTGACAGGGGTAACTAATACTGACTCAAAACGGTAGCTAATAATCCCCGAGGTGTTTGATTGAAGATAAGTCCCCGTACGCAAATCCATCTATTGTTGCCCCTTAACAATGTATTTAACTGTGAATGATGTCACGCTCGAATGGGGAACACATGCACAAAGCCTTGTCCGACCAGGAACACTCCGCTACCGTTGCCAATGCTAGTATTTGTGTAGCGACGGTCCGGTATGGTGGTGGCCTAGCTTGTGGGTCAGGTTCAGTCTTGTGTTCTGGTGTTGACTGTTTGATATGAAGTTTACATGACATTAAATATCACAGAAGATGAGTGTTAAGTTCAGGGACAGAGGTAAGTGTTCTCTCAAACTCAAGCAATTTCGAAAATGTCGTAATTTCATTATGTATAACATTATTTTGATTGTCTTAGGTATTGGTTGGAGAAATAATATAGAGTATATGTTTTGTTAAAGTACCGTGACACGTCATGAATGTAGAACATTATTAGACAGAAATACCTGACTATATATGTTTTTTTCTATATTTATTATGTTTTTTGGTATTTATTTATTTTATGATTTACTTGCTATTTAGTTATTTTATTATTTACTTGGTATTTAGTTATAATAAAATCGACAAAATCCTTTCCCTTATCATGAGAAGAGTGAGTGAGTATGATTTTACGCCGCTTTTAGCAATATTCCAGCGGGAGACACCAGTATTGGGCTTCACACATTGTGCCCATGTCGGGAATCGAGCCCTGGTCTTCGATGTGACGAGCGAACGCTTTAACCACAAGGCTACCCGACCACCCCTATCATTAGAAGAGTCCACTGTAGGATTCTGACTTTACAATAGTCATGTGTTTATGAATCACTATCAAATAGGACCCGTGAAGATCCCGGGGTAGAATGGGTCTTCAGCAACCAATGCTTGCCGTTAAAAGCGACTATGCTTGTCCTAAGAGGCGACTAACGGGATCGGGTGGTCAGGCTCGCTGACTTGGTTGATGCATGTCATGTGTCCCAACTGGGTGGATCGATGCTCATGATATCAATCACCTGGTTGACTGGTCCAGACTCGATTATTTACAGACCGCCGTCATATAGCTGGAATTTTGCTGAGTGCGGCGTTAAACAACAAACACACAAACACTATCAAATAGTAACAATACCAGGTGAAAAGGTGAGCGTGTCCTGCCTTACCGGCGGCTTTCTTCACAAACACAGGTACCAAAGTCGTCGTTATATTCTCTCTGCCGTAGCAATAACAACTGTAGTCATATTTATGTTTCTGCCTGTTTCTTGTTTTACGCCGCACTCAGCAATATTCCAGTTTTTTTATGGCGGCATGTAAATAATTGACTCTGGTCCAGAGTAACCAGTGGTTGATGTCATGAGCATGCACTGTTCCACGCAGTCGGCGTGCGGTGACACAATGTCACTGATCAGCCCATTCAATGTCGTCGCCTGTCGGCAGGCAACGGAGCATTGGAAGGCTATTCTAACCCAACTGGGCTGTACATGCATCCATACTCGAGTCATGTGGGACACCCTAGTGGTTAATGGGTATCGATAATAAGTTGTGCCAGAAAAAACCATGACAAAAATAGTTATGATTCTGACTGTTGACATAAAGAAGAAATTGTCCACAAAATTGTTTTTCTTTTTTTTCAATCATGTTTTGCAACTATAGCTAGAAAAATACCGGGGTATATACCGGCGCCGTCGGGTAGACTAGTGGCTAAAGCGTTCGCTCTTTACGCCGAAGACGCGGGTTCGATTCCCGACATGGGTGCATTGTGTGAAGCCTATTTCTTGTGTCCCCCGCCGTGATATTGCTGGAATATTGCTAAAAGCGGCGCAAAACCACACTCACTCTTGTGTATACCACCACTCTACATATTAATCTCATGCGATTAGATTAGATTATTTCCCTCAGCCCTGTTAGAAGAAAACAGTTATAGTCGTGTATTCCATTACGTAAGCAAAGCTTTATTTTTCCCGTTGTGTATGTAATACATCCTGTCTGGCCTTTATCGCCCGCAGCTAAATTATTGTTAATCTGGATTGGAGCATCCTTGATCATCCAGTGTGTTACATGTTTATTATGCCGTTAAAAAGGGGGCTTCTCTCTCTTGGTAGCTACCATATTCACACTTTATTTTTACTCTCTCTGTCTATTTTTTCTTGTCGTCTTTTTTTGTGTAGATTTTCATCTATGTATTATATGTTAAGTTATATTTTTCTGCACGCTTTCATATTTTTGTTGATACAATTACTACTAAGTGTTAAAGCCTAAGGCTCGCCCCGGTCACGTGGTCCCTCCCAGTTCATGTAAATACGTGGCTCTATACATTAGTTTAAAATATTTACAAAGATTAAAATATAGAAATATTGTCATTTTGTTGATCAATGTGACCATACGCCCTCTATATTACTACCCATACAAGAGACTAATGCGCTTACGAATGGCGCAGCAGAGGTCGCGAACTAGTCTAGATTTCTGCTATACATCCGGGTACTCACTGGGAAAAAACAATAACAAAGGCAACAACCAGTCCCGGGGAATTGCGTTAGATCAGTGCCCCTTTAAGGTAAATATACTGGACCAATTTTCCACCAAATTTCGTTCCGGAAGTGACGTCATCATATTCATTTTGTCTTTTCACTAACTTAGTACCGAAGGTTTCTCTCTCATGAGAGTAATGTGTTGGGGCGGTTATTTGAGAGTCCTGACGTTTGGATCGGGAGCTGTGGTAGCAATATATTCAAGATTTCTATATATTTCAGGGTATTGATCCTGGTGGAATTGAGATATATTACACTGGAAAATCGAAAATGGGTCGGTGTAGAACACTACTGCCCCACTCATGAAAATATTAACTTTGTAGGATCACTTGAAGAGATCACGCGAGTGAGTGAGTATGGCTTTACGCCGCCTTTAGCAATATACTGGGGGATACCAGTTGATATCAAATTACAAAAACCTTCTATATATCACGACAGAGTTGTAAGATAAGATACAGTCCCCTGCGTAGATAAAGTCCCCTGCGTAGATGTATGGGCGTATCTGGTGCATGACATAAGAGTTAGTCATGTCATACAGATAATGATATTCTTGTGAACTGTTAACCCAAAGATTGCACGGTTCGATTATTTCGAACAATAAATACCCCGGATGTGGAACGAGAAGTCTTAAGCCGGCACTATAATACCGTGTCCCTCAGTGGAACGCTGTTTAATGTTGTGTTTCTCGAAAATATAATGTAAAAACACACAAAAAGAAATGAAAATGATCTCCCCGTGTCCTTATTTTGTCAGGAATAGGGCCGGTGGGGTAGCCTTGTGGGTAAAGGGTTTGCTCGTCACGTCGAAGGACCTGGGTTCGATTCCCGACATGAGTACAATGTGTGAAGCCCATTTCTGGTGTCCCCCGCCGTGATATTGCTGGAATATTGCTAAAAGCGGCGTAAAACCAAACTCACACACTCACTCACTGATCAGGAATTGCCAATCACTCTTCTGTTCCGCTACAAGCCGATCGTCCTTTTGCACCAGTCGTGTCATCCGGGACAGGCTAAATGATTTACATAAATGGTCAAGTTGTGGTGGGTGGCCGATCCGCGTGGATACGTTAATGAAATAACACGAATCATTTCGCAAGAACATAATAAAATGTTTTATTTTCGGTTCGAATTTTCAATTTCGAAAACACTGAATATGTTAATAGCCTTTCTTTGTGGGCCAAGTTGCCCTTAGCTATTTCACCACTAAGACCATTGACGTCGTCCTATTTCGCAATTTACAGTCTTCCGCGGGGGAGTGGATCTGAGTTTGAGTCAACTAAAAGCGATACATTTCGCTACATACACTTACTATTTTGTGGGGGTCACGGGTGGCCCAGTCGTCTAAGGCGCCGCGATTCGCTGTGCAGAGTTGCGTCCCTTGGGCACGCCAGAAACCTAGGATTGTGGGTTCGAATCCCGGTTCGCCCCGATTATGTTTCTAGGTTTGTCAGCACCATACCCGTGCTCGTGGGTTTCACCGAAGTGGTAAACGTCTAAGACCTGCATCACTTCGGGCTTTCCTCCCACATTAAGCTGACACGCCGTGATATAACTGGAATACTGTTAAAAGCAGCGTTAAACCCAACTCACTCACTCACTACTATTTTGTGTCAACTGTGTTAGTGGCGGTTGCTACCAGTAGGGCAGGATGTGCTTACCCTTGCGGACACCTGGTTTCATCACTGATTTTCGGTAATCCATTCATAACATTTTCATCACTATGTTACCTTTGACGCCCAATGGAATCTGTTTGTGCGGATAATCGGGGGTGGTTTTAAAGACAATGGCATACATCGCACGAATTAACCTAGACTGTGCTATATATAGATCATCATTTTATTTTTATAAAAACGCAAAAATATGAAAGTCTCGTAGGCATACATCACACGAATCAACCTAGACTGTGCTATATATAAATCATCATTTTATATTTATAAAAGCACAAAAATATGAAAGTCTCGTAGGCATACATCACACGAATCAACCTAGATTGTGCTATTATAAATCATCATTTTAAATTTATGAAAACGCAAAAATATGAAAGTCCCGTAGGCATTTTATGAAAGTATGTAAACCTCGGCACATTTGCAAATGAAAATTGCTTAAAGGGAAATCGGCTTAGTGCTTAACCTCCTTATTGACTGCTCTGTTTATCCCTGATCGCCGATGTTGTACAGGATTATCAGGGTATGTATTGTATTAAGAGAAAAGAGAATCCTTCGTATATATCGAATAACTGTAAACCCGACTTAACTGGCGGACGCACAGGGATTATGGGAGCGTTCACACCTGCAGTCACCGCAAGTTGGGTATAAGCTTATGTTTTCTTGTTAAACACAGTATGTGAATTGGTTTCTTGGTATCAGTATGTGATTAATATTTTGATTTGTTGTTAAATGCCGCACTCATATTCCAGCCAAATCATCGTAGCATGTAAATAATCTGTCTGATTCAAAGAAACCAGCGGAGCAATGACCCTACGCCCCCGGGGTACGATGACACGGGGTTTCTTAGGCAGACATTAGCAACGGGAACATAGCAGAGCGAAGTGACACGCTATGGCCACCCGATCCTTATAAGTGGGGTCCTACCTCTAGCTGGGGCACTTGGGATCTACCCAGTCCCGAAATCCCCGGGGTTGCATGTTTGAAGGGAGGGAAAAAGAAGAGCGAAAAAATACTACCGACCATGCATTCTTAATACTATATTATGATAAATTAAATAGATATAGCTCATGCACAATCAATAACTGATCAATTATGGATATATTACCTACACATATA